GGGGAAAAAGAGTGAGTGGTGCACTTAGGAGTCTGTGGAGACAAAGAACTTTGTCCGTGGAGGCAAAGAGGGGAATGTATGAGAGTATAGTTTTACCAACGCTCTTATATGGGTGCGAAGCGTGGGTGATGAATGTTGCAGCGAGGAGAAGGCTGGAGGCAGTGGAGATGTCATGTCTGAGGGCAATGTGTGGTGTGAATATAATGCAGAGAATTCGTAGTTTGGAAGTTAGGAGGAGGTGCGGGATTACCAAAACTGTTGTCCAGAGGGCTGAGGAAGGGTTGTTGAGGTGGTTCGGACATGTAGAGAGAATGGAGCGAAACAGAATGACTTCAAGAGTGTATCTGTCTGTAGTGGAAGGAAGGCGGGGTAGGGGTCGGCCTAGGAAGGGTTGGAGGGAGGGGGTAAAGGAGGTTTTGTGTGCGAGGGGCTTGGACTTCCAGCAGGCATGCGTGAGCGTGTTTGATAGGAGTGAATGGAGACAAATGGTTTTTAATACTTGACGTGCTGTTGGAGTGTGAGCAAAGTAACATTTATGAAGGGGTTCAGGGAAACCGGCAGGCCGGACTTGAGTCCTGGAGATGGAAAGTACAGTGCCTGCACTCTGAAGGAGGGGTGTTAATGTTGCAGTTTAAACTGTAGTATAAAGCACCCTTCTGGCAAGACAGTGATGGAGTGAATGATGGTGAAAGTTTTTCTTTTTCGGGCCACCCTGCCTTGGTGGGAATCGGCCAGTGTGATAATAAAAAATAAATATAAAAAATAACTTATAATACATTCAGGAAGACATTCATCATTTAACTGAGTAGGAAATATGCTAGCCTCTGTTAATAAATACAAATAAAGGAGCAGGGTTTTTAGGACACAATATGTGATTTTTTAGCACATATAATAAAACACATATTTGTGAATATTTGGATAAAAATCACAAAACTTGCAAATATAACAGAAATAAATATTTTCACTTACTTTGACTGAACTACCTACGGTCAATGACACATATCGCTCGAAGGGTAAAATGTTTTCTATGATATATGCTAGGTGTACTTCCTATTGTTGTTATTATAAATTACTGCAAATTCTTAATTTGCTGGCACATACTATATAGTTATAGGTAGTAGGTTGGTAGACACCAACCACTCAGGGAGGTACTACCGTCCTGCCAAGTGAGTGTAAAACGAAAGCCTGTAATTGTTTTACATGATGGTAGGATTGCTGGTGTCCTTTTTTTCTGTCTCATACACATGCAAGATTTCAGGTACGTCTTGCTACTTCTACTTACACTTAGGTCACATTACACATACATTTTTTTTTTATTATCACACTGGTCGATTCCCACCAAGGCAGGGTGGCCCGAAAAAGAAAAACTTTCACCATCATTCACTCCATCACTGTCTTGCCAGAAGGGTGCTCTACACTACAGTTTTTAAACTGCAACATTAACACCCCTCCTTCAGAGTGCAGGCTCTGTACTTCCCATCTCCAGGGCTCAAGTCCGGCCTGCCGGTTTCCCTGAACCCCTTCATAAATGTTACTTTGCTCACACTCCAACAGCACATCAAGTATTAAAAACCATTTGTCTCCATTCACTCCTATCAAACACGCTCACGCATGCCTGCTGGAAGTCCAAGCCCCTCGCACACAAAACCTCCTTTACCCCCTCCCTCCAACCTTTCCTAGGCCGACCCCTACCCCGCCTTCCTTCCACTACAGACTGATACACTCTTGAAGTCACTCTGTTTCGCTCCATTCTCTTTACATGTCCGAACCACCTCAACAACCCTTCCTCAGCCCTCTGGGCAACAGTTTTGGTAATCCCGCACCTCCTCCTAACTTCCAAACTACGAATTCTCTGCATTATATTCACACCACACATTGCCCTCAGACATGACATCTCCACTGCCTCCAGCCTTCTCCTCGCTGCAACATTCATCACCCATGCTTCACACTCAAATAAGAGCGTTGGTAAAACTATACTCTCATACATTCCCCTCTTTGCCTCCAAGGACAAAGTTCTTTGTCTCCACAGACTCCTAAGTGCACAACTCACCCTTTTCCCCTCATCAATTCTATGATTCACCTCATCTTTCATAGACCCATCCGCTGACACGTCCACTCCCAAATATATGAATACATTCACCTCCTCCATACTCTCTCCCTCCAATCTGATATCCAATCTTTCATCACCTAATCTTTTTGTTATCCTCATAACCTTACTCTTTCCTGTATTCACTTTTAATTATCTTCTTTTGCACACCCTACCAAATTCATCCACCAATCTCTGCAACTTCTCTTCAGAATCTCCCAAGAGCACAGTGTCATCAGCAAAGAGCAACTGTGACAACTCCCACTTTATGTGTGATTCTTTATCTTTTAACTCCATGCCTCTTGCCAAGACCCTCGCATTTACTTCTCTTACAACCCCATCTATAAATATATTAAACAACCACGGTGACATCACACATCCTTGTCTAAGGCCTACTTTTACTGGGAAATAATTTCCCTCTTTCCTACATACTCTAACTTGAGCCTCACTATCCTCGTAAAAACTCTTCACTGCTTTCAGTAACCTACCTCCTACACCATACACCTGCAACATCTGCCACATTGCCCCCCTATCCACCCTGTCATACGCCTTTTCCAAATCCATAAATGCCACAAAGACCTCTTTAGCCTTATCTAAATACTGTTCACTTATATGTTTCACTGTAAACACCTGGTCCACACACCCCCTACCTTTCCTAAAGCCTCCTTGCTCATATGCTACCCTATTCTCCGTCTTACTCTTAATTCTTTCAAAAATAACTCTACCATACACTTTACCAGGTATACTCAACAGACTTATCCCCCTATAATTTTTGCACTCTCTTTTGTCCCCTTTGCCTTTATATAAAGGAACTATGCATGCTCTCTGCCAATCCCTAGGTACCTTACCCTCTTCCATACATTTATTAAATAATTGCACCAACCACTCCAAAACTATATCCCCACCTGCTTTTAACATTTCTATCTTTATCCCATCAATCCCGGCTGCCTTACCCCCTTTCATTTTACCTACTGCCTCACGAACTTCCCCACACTCACAACTGGCTCTTCCTCACTCCTACAAGATGTTATTCCTCCTTGCCCTATACACGAAATCACAGCTTCCCTATCTTCACAACATTTAACAATTCCTCAAAATATTCCCTCCATCTTCCCAATACTTCTAACTCTCCATTTAATAACTCTCCTCTCCTATTTTTAACTGACAAATCCATTTGTTCTCTAGGCTTCCTTAACTTGTTAATCTCACTCCAAAACTTTTTCTTATTTTCAACAAAATTTGTTGATAACATCTCTCCCACTCTCTCATTTGCTCTCTTTTTACATTGCTTCACCACTCTCTTAACCTCTCTCTTTCTCTCCATATACTCTTCCTCCTTGCATCACTTCTACTTTGTAAAAACTTCTCATATGCTAACTTTTTCTCCCTTACTACTCTCTTTACATCATCATTCCACCAATTGCTCCTCTTCCCTCCCGCACCCACTTTCCTGTAACCACAAACTTCTGCTGAACACTCTAACACTACATTTTTAAACCTACCCCATACCTCTCGACCCATTGCTATGCTCTCATTAGCCCATCTATCCTCCAATAGCTGTTTATATCTTACCCTAACTGCCTCCTCTTTTAGTTTATAAACCTTCATCTCTCTCTTTCCTGATGCTTCTATTCTCCTTGTATCCCATCTACCTTTTACTCTCAGTGTAGCTACAACTAGAAAGTGATCTGATATATCTGTGGCCCCTCTATAAACATGTACATCCTGAAGTCTACTCAACAGTCTTTTATCTACCAATACATAATCCAACAAATTACTGTCATTTCGCCCTACATCATATCTTGTATACTTATTTATCCTCTTTTTCTTAAAATATGTATTACCTATAACTAAACCCCTTTCAATACAAAGTTCAATCAAAGGGCTCCCATTATCATTTACACCTGGCACCCCAAACTTACCTACCACACCCTCTCTAAAAGTTTCTCCTACTTTAGCATTCAGGTCCCCTACCACAATTACTCTCTCACTTGGTTCAAAGGCTCCTATACATTCACTTAACATCTCCCAAAATCTCTCTCTCTCCTCTGCATTCCTCTCTTCTCCAGGCGCATACACGCTTATTATGACCCACTTTTCGCATCCAACCTTTATTTAATCCACATAATTCTTGAATTTACACATTCATATTCTCTTTTCTCCTTCCATAACTGATCATTCAACATTACTGCTACCCCTTCCTTTGCTCTAACTCTCTCAGATACTTCAGATTTAATCCCATTTATTTCCCCCCACCGAAACTCCCCTACCCCCTTCAGCTTTGTTTCACTTAAGGCCAGGACATCCAACTTCTTTTCATTCATAACATCAGCAATCATCTGTTTCTTGTCATCCGCACTACATCCACGCACATTCAAGCATCCCAGTTTTTATAAAGTTTTTCTTCTTCTCTTTTTTAGTAAATGTCTACAGGAGAAGGGGTTACTAGCCCATTGCTCCCGGCATTTTAGTCGCCTCATATGACACGCATGGCTTACGGAGGAAAGATTCTTTTCCACTTCCCCATGGACAATAGAAGAAATAAAGAAAAACAAGAGCTATTTAGAAAAAGGAGAAAAACCTATATACAAGCCTATGTACAAGCATATATACACACACTCCTCTGGGTTTTCTTCTATTTTCTTTCTAGTTCCTATTCTTGTTTATTTCCTCTTACCTCCATGGGGAAGTGGAACAGAATTCTTCCTCCGTAAGCCATGTGTGGTGTAAGAGGCGACTAAAATGCCGGGAGCAAGGGGCCAGTAACCCCTTCTCCTGTATAAATTACTGAATTTAAAAAGAGAAACTTTCATTTTTCTTTTTGGGCCACCCTGCCTTGGTGGGATATGGCCGATTTGTTGAAAAAAAAAAATGCTATATAGTGTTATTTACCAAAGTATACAGTTACACTTACCAATTTTAACTGGGAAACCTGGAGGGAGCTTCATTTGGACAAACTCTCGCAGCTTTGCAAAGTGCTTGAATGGAGCAATTACTTCCAGTACATTGAGAAGCATCTCTACTGTCAATGGAAATTCTTCACTCTGGAAAACAATAGTTATAGTACATTGTATACAACTGGCAGAGGCATTTTTTGATGCTTCAGCAGCTGTTTAAACATTTTATATATTGCATGCACATTAATTTGAGTCTCACATTGTAGGATGTGTGGACATTCCTGTGACTGGTTTTTAGTCCTACACTTGAAGAACAGCCTGAGGCCAGACTTCATTGCTGACTTCTTGGTCAACCAAGCTGCTGTTGCCAGCAGCCAGCAGGTCTACATAGTCCTCACCACCTGACTGATCTAGTACATTTTGCAGGTACTAGTCTGGTTTCCTTTTCAAAATTTCTACCTTTGTTCTGATATTTCATCATCAATTATAGTATCAATTGAAGTAGTACAGTACAGGAACATCAGTATAATGCAGTTTGTTGGTTTAATGCATATTAAATGCCACTGATGTAGCAATAAATTCGTTATATCTTCGTATTGTATTGTTTCCCTAAAGGTGGGGTTACAGGGAGTAACTTAAATTTAATAGTAAATAAATTTAGTTTGAACTACAATTACAGATCTTTACAAATAGATTGAAAGTTTAATTTTGTTTCAGTTTGATCACCTGGCACAATGTCTGACCTAAAGTAGGACTGCACTTATCTTCTAGCAATGATGTTGGTTTCCTTATTACAACTAATTTACACGTTGAGTAGAAGCTTTCATTGTGACAATGTTTTGCTCTATGCAGAGCTTAATGCAGGGCAACATGTTGTTACAAGAGAAGCTTGCTTTACAATGTCTATTTTCTTCAAGTACTGCCCCATAATGGAATACATATCTTTTATTTATGAAATACTCTATCCCTAACACAATATACTTTTCCACATCTTACACCCCCCTATAAATTCTTACAATGTTTTTTAAAAGTGGCTGTTACCCACCAAAGCAGTGTAACACAAAGAAGGAAACACATTAGTCATTAATCATTCTCTATCAGTCTTTCCAGAGGTGCATGGATCTAACAGCTCAACTTACCATTGCTACAGTTGCCTTAAATGATTTAGCCGATTCCTTGCAAATGAGTGCACGACCTAATGGAGGGGGTTTTCCAGGTTCAGCTTGCATATATGTTTCCCAAGATACTGGTTCTGTGCTTGGGGGTTCTAATGAAGCTCTGCGTACTGACTGGAGAAATAAATGAAAATGTTACAAACTCGGTTAAAATAACTGTAAGACACTAAAGAACAGGAGGAAAGAGGGATGAAAGAAGCATGGAAAAGATATAATTAGGCAGTGATTAAATGATGCATTGCTGTTTGCTCAGATTTACATGTGGATTATACTGTACAGGGACTAGCCAGACTCACACCAATTCATATTAATATAGAGATAATATTTATATGCCTTGGTGGGAGACGGCCGACTTATTGAAAAAAAGAAAAAATTATGTTCTTTCCTAGGTAGTAGGTTGGTAGACAGCAACCGCCCAGGGAGGTACTACCGTCCTGCCAAGTGAGTGTAAAACGGAAACCTGTAATTGTTTTACATGATGGTAGGATCGCTGGTGTCTTTTTTTGTCTCATAAACATGCAAGATTTCAGGTACATCTTGCTACTTCTACTTACACTTAGGTCACACTACACATACATGTACAAGCATATATATATACACACCCCTCTGGGTTTTCTTCTATTTTCTTTCTAGTTCTTCTTCTTGTTTATTTCTTCTTATCTCCACGGGGAAGTGGAACAGAATTCTTCCTCCGTAAGCCAGGCGTGCTGTAAGAGGCGACTAAAATGCTGGGAGCAAGGGGCTAGTAACCCCTTCTCCTGTATAAATTGCTAAATTTGAAAAGAGAAACTTTTGTTTTTCTTTTTGGGCCACCCTGCCTCAGTGGAATAAGGCCGGTTTGTTGAAAGAAGAAAGAAAGATTTATATTCTTTAGAGGTTATGGAGTAACAGTCAGAATACATAATCCCAACATGACTCAGTGTTTAGTGAGCCATTAACCCTTTCAGTGTTGGTCCTGTTGTATCACTGCCTTGAAGCCAGTGTCGGTCCTGTAGTACGATGCCAAGAGCTCAACTCACTCAGATAAGCTGTAAGCAGTAAATTTGGCTTAGATATGAGAATGGGTCCATGGGGTAAGTGTGCACTATATAAAAAAAAATCCTGCAGCACGCAGTGCATGAGAAAAAACTGCAACTGTATTTTTAGTTTAAAATAGCGACTTCACAGTGTATTTTTGTATGGTTTTTAAGGTTGTATTTTCGGTTTCTTCGTCTATTTGATAGAATGGAAGATATATTACAGAATCGAACACGGAGGGGACTGGTGTGGGTCACATCCTGGGGAACAAGATTGAGGGCCCCAATGGAAATAAGTTAGACAGTTCTCGATGACACACTGACTTCCTTGAATTATCCTGGGTGGCTAACCCTCCGGGGTTAAAAATCCAAACAAAATCTTATCCTCTCCCCTCTCTCTTCCTCCTTCACTTTGGTACTTTGCTACAATTTCTTTCTTCAATTCTATCATGTTTCTCACTTTCTTTACCAAAGGGCTGCCACTATGAAGTTTATTTGGACCCATGGTGGCTTATTTCACAATCACAATCAATAAACAAGCACTAAACACAATGAATTTACAGGTCTCCCTCAACATTCACGTTTTCAGCTTTCGCGGGCTTCACACATTTGCGAATTCCCAACTGCTGAATTCCCAACTGCCAAATTCCCAGCCACCAAATTCCCAGCCGCCAAATCATATTCAAGTTTCCCGCCACCTGCGAGTCCCTACTACCCTCCCACCGATCCCCTCAACTGGCAGCCAGCCCTCCCACCACTCAGTGTGGTGAGTGTTTTGTTTGTTCATTATTTGCTATTAAACTACAGTATAAATAATGTAAACCCATTCATGACTGCATATTGGAATGGCTATTCGGACAGGTATTAGATGGTGACATCATGTGTTTACTCTTGAACACAGCAAAGACTCAAACATTTTTGCTACTGCTAATAATAACAATAGTAATAATAATAATAATAATAATAATAAATACGATATAATTGAAGAAGGAAGTTGTACAAAAATACGAGGGAGTGGTTGACACATCGTCAGTGTGGCTTTGTTTATGCTTGAGTGAGCATTAGTCTCCCTGCTCTTCCAAACATTTCACAATAATTCATTGTGTTTGGTGCTTGTAGATTGAGTGCGACTGGAGTGGTAGAGGCAGTGGTTGAGGCAGTGGTTGAGGCAGCGATTGAGGCAGCTGTTGAGGCAGCGATTGAGGCAGTGGTTGAGGCAGCTGTTGAGGCAGCTGTTGAGGCAGCGATTGAGGCAGTGGTTGAGGCAGCGATTGAGGCAGTGGGTGAGGCAGCTGTTGAGGCTGCTGTTGAGGCAGTGGTTGAGGCAGCTGTTGAGGCAGCGATTGAGGCAGTGGGTGAGGCAGCTGTTGAGGCAGCGATTGAGGCAGTGGGTGAGGCAGCTGTTGAGGCAGCTGTTGAGGCAGCAATTGAGGCAGTGGGTGAGGCAGCTGTTGAGGCAGCGATTGAGGCAGTGGGTGAGGCAGCTGTTGAGGCAGCGATTGAGGCAGTGGGTGAGGCAGCTGTTGAGGCAGCGACTGAGGCAGTGGTTGAGGCAGCGATTGAGGCAGTGGGTGAGGCAGCTGTTGAGGCAGCGATTGAGGCAGTGGGTGAGGCAGCGGTTGAGGCAGTGGTATTTAATAACATACACGTTATTAATAATAATAATACATGTTATTAATAATATGTACTATTATTATTTATAACATATATGTTATTAAATACCACTGCCTCAACCGCTGAATTATTGTGAAATGTTTGGAAGAGCAGGGAGACTAATGCTCACTCCAAAGCCACACTGACGATGTGTCAACCACTCCCTCGTATTTTTGTACAATTTCCTTCTTCAATTATATCGTATTATTATTATTATTATTATTATTATTATTATTATTACTATTGTTATTATTAGCAGTAGCAGAAAAGTTTGATTCTTTGCTGTGTTCAAGAGTAAACACATGATGTCACCGTCCAATACCTGTCCGAATAGCCATTCCAATATGCAGTCATGAATGGGTTTACATTATTTATACTGTAGTTTAATAGCAAATAATGAACAAACAAAACTCTCACCACACTGAGTGGTGGGAGGGCTGGCTGCCAGTTGCAGGGGTCGGAGGGAGGGTAGTAGGGACTCGCAGTGGTTGAGGAAGTGGTGGAGGCATTGGTGGAGGCAGTGGTGGAGTCTGTGGTATTTAATAACATACATGTTATTAAAGCATAACATGTATATATTTAGTACAATTTATGAAGTTTTCATGTATTTTATGATTGTTCATGGTTCAACAAGTTAAGGAAGCAGTATTGTACTATATTTCCCTACAATATATTGGGGCACCAAACATTCACGGTTTTTCAACATTCGCGAGGCTCTTGATCCCCTAACCCTCGCGAATGTTGAGGGAGACCTGTATTGTGAAATGTTTGGATGAGCGTGCAGGGTACTGTTCACTCAAGAATAAACAAAGCTAGGGTGGCTCACGACGCCTGCGCAAGTAGGCGGACAGGTCTGGCACGCAGGCTGAAACATGGGGCACAGGCCAAAACTTGGGACAAAATTTAGCCGAAAAAAGCAGTCGAAACTCGAAGCAGCTGATACTCAGGGCAGCCGAAACTCGGGGCTCCATTGTATTTTCTTCTTGGGGATTTTCTTTCTTTTTGGGTCACCTTGCCTCGGTGGGAGATGGCCGACTTTGTTGTTGAACTGTTAAACTGTTGATCTACATTTTACTGCTAATACTTTGAATATTTTGAAAAAATAAAATAAGTAAAACAGAGGACAATTAACCCCTTGACTGCCGCAACCCTCAATCCTGAGGTGTCTCCTGGTGTCGGAAAATTAAAAAAAAAAAAAAAAAAAAATCTTATGAAATGATAGAGAATATTTTCCCGATTGTAATGACACTTAAAAAAACGAAATTTAAAGGAAAACTGATGGGATTACGCTCTCGCGAAGTTAGCGCCCTCGGCAATATTTACAAATCGGCGATTTCGCCCACTGAGCCCTATTTTCGGCTAATTCCATTGTTCCAGTCGACCAAACTTATAGCTATTTCTTTAGAACTCCATTTTTTCTATCGATTGAGTACAAGAAACTGCCCATTTACCAATTTCAACTACCCAATAACGTGGTCAGAAATTTGCAATTTGGCTAATTTCACGAAAATTTAAAAATATGACAATTTCAAAATAAGGTCCAGAATGAACAATGCAGACATTCCTGGCTCTAAAATTACATTTTCTTTGTTCATCAGTCACGTCTCCAGGCCCCTCTGATATTACTCTTGCTTTCTATTTTGAATTTTTATTCAAACAAAAAATAGAAGATTTACTGTTATGCAGACTACTGCAATATTGTAATAACTGTACAAATAATGTCAACCCATTCATGACTGCATATTAGAATGGCTAATTGGACATTTATTGGACACTGACATCATTTGTTTACTTTTGAACATTGGCAAAAATCAAACATTTCCCCTACTTTGAGCTCCATTTCCAGGTTCTTTTTGCATTAAAACCAATCAAAACCACCTCTATTTCTATAATATGTTTTCCATCCTATCAAATGAGAAAAAGATAATGAGAATACAACTATAAATACTATATGAAAATAGACCACAAAGTCGGCATTTTAATTAAAAAAAAAAGGTCGGAGTTTTTTTTTCTCATTATGCACTGCGTGCAACAAGATTTTTTTTATATGGTGCACACTGACCACACAGACCCATTCTCTCACATGTGGGCCTACCAGCTTTCTCCTGCTTGATTTGAAGCAGCTAGAATTTATGAGTATATGAGGTGAATCATAGAATTGATGAGGGGAAAAGGGTGAGTGGTGCACTTAGGAGTCTGTGGAGACAAAGAACTTTGTCCTTGGAGGCAAAGAGGGGAATGTATGAGAGTATAGTTTTACCAACGCTCTTATATGGGTGTGAAGCATGGGTGATGAATGTTGCAGCGAGGAGAAGGCTGGAGGCAGTGGAGATGTCATGTCTGAGGGCAATGTGTGGTGTGAATATAATGCAGAGAATTCGTAGTTTGGAAGTTAGGAGGAGGTGCAGGATTACCAAAACTGTTCTCCAGAGGGCTGAGGAAGGGTTGTTGAGGTGGTTCGGACATGTAGAGAGAATGGAGCGAAACAGAGTGACTTCAAGAGTGTATCAGTCTGTAGTGGAAGGAAGGCGGTGTAGGGGTCGGCCTAGGAAAGGTTGGAGGGAGAGGGTAAAGGAGGTTTTGTGTGCGAGGGGCTTGGACTTCCAGTAGGCATGCGTGAGCGTGTTTGATAGGAGTGAATGGAGACAAATGGTTTTTAATACTTGACGTGCTGTTGGAGTGTGAGCAAAGTAACATTTATGAAGGGGTTCAGGGAAACCGGCAGGCCGGACTTGAGTCCTGGAGATGGGAAGTACAGTGCCTGCACTCTGAAGGAGGGGTGTTAATGTTGCAGTTTAAAAACTGTAGTGTAAAGCACCCTTCTGGCAAGACAGTGATGGAGTGAACGATGGTGAAAGTTTTTTCTTTCTCGGGCCACCCTGCCTTGGTGGGAATAGGCCAGTGTGATAATAAAATATACGTCAAACATGGTACCTCGTAAGACGTATATATACAACCGAAACAGTCAAAGGGTTAATAATAAGACCCCCCTCCCCCCCCCCAAAAAAATAAGGCAGCGAAGTTGGCACTAGATGCTCATGTGATGGCAACATGGAGTCCTGCTGCTTGCAGAAGTGTTGCTAATATACTTTTTATTTTTTTTTAATTTACGTAATTTTTATGTTCTGATAACTACAATTTATAGTAGCTCTTGTGATTTTATAGCCAATCTTTATTCACACTAATGTTAGCTATGGAAATAGTAATGGAACAGTCACAAACATATTGATAGGTGAACATGTTCACCTGCCTTGGTCACATACTATTGTCTAGAAATATATACAAATTATTCACAGGTCCCAGCACTGTTTTTGGAAGTGCTGGAGTATACTGAACTCCTTGAAGCACAGTGTATGACAAGTGTGTCACTCTATACTGTTGACAGTGCAGTCACTCAATATTGCTGATGGTGCACTGCTCCCAGTGAACCCTGGCATATGTTTTTTATTTGTTCTCACTGTTCCACACATGTAAGCATGTCTGTCTCTGTTTATCTCTGTCTTTCTCTCTCTCTGTCTGCCTGTCTGTCTGAGAGAGAGCCACTCATGAATGAACAGGTATTACCTATGCTGCAGAACTGTCATGTCTGAACAAGTGATAAGATATAACTGAGGCTGGAATGTGTATTACTTGCCAGTCATGCTTATGCCTTATATCTACAAGCACAATATAGTACTTTGTATTTTTCTTTGGTTATTTTAGGTAATTTACATCATGTATAATGTACCTGTGCCTAAATAAACTTACTTAGTAATTGATTCTGGTTCATGACCTGCTCTCTCTGAGACAGAGACAGGCGGATAGAGACAGCTAGACAGAGACAGGCGGATAGAGACAGCTAGACAGAGACAGGCGGATAGAGACAGCTAGACAGAGACAGGCGGATAGAGACAGCCAATTAGCTAGCCAGCTGAACATGGATTACATATGAACATTAAAATGGTATAAAATACCGACAGGTTGTTAGGTAAGACACACATGCAACAGTTAGGTATCTTTATTATGAAACGTTTCGCCTACACAGTAGGCTTCTTCAGTCAAGTACAGAAAAGTTGATAGAAGCAGAAGATACTTGAAGACGATGTAATCAGTCCATCACCCTACGTTTCGCCTACACAGTAGGCTTCTTCAGTCAAGTACAGAAAAGTTGATAGAAGCAGAAGATACTTGAAGACGATGTAATCAGTCCATCACCCTTAAAGTTTTAAGGGTGATGGACTGATTACATCGTCTTCAAGTATCTTCTGCTTCTATCAACTTTTCTGTACTTGACTGAAGAAGCCTACTGTGTAGGCGAAACGTTTCATAATAAAGATACCTAACTGTTGCATGTGTGTCTTACCTAACAACATGGATTACATATGTTGTAGAATCATCTCTCTTTCTCTACTTAGGAGATAGGTGATAGGACATTCTGGCAGGATTAACACTATCAGATGCATCGTAATTGAAAGGATGTGGTACAAATGTTATACATGGGTTACTATCTAGGTTTCTGATATTTCCTCGACCACTCATGGCAACACCCATCTCAAAGCCACTAAACTCGGGTTCAGCATCGCTTTCCTCGAAAAAGGAATGTTAATACGACATAGCATTAGTGAATCCTTAGGGTTTGCCATGCTGTTTGCTCTAGCTGGTGCTCCCACAAGGTACTAAGCGGTCCCAGATTTTTTAATATTGTGCACACTGAGTGTTAAGACCCATTCTATACTGCCTAGGACTATCAGACCTTTGGCACCAAATTTGAGGGCAGGAATAATAGTGCGCTGATTGACATCATGAGCACTAGCAGTAAAACGTAGATCAACGGTTTGACAGTTAAAAGGTTAAAGAGCTTAATACTCACTTCATCAAAAGATTGTGCCCCACCTCCCTTAGTAAAACTTTCCACTATGGCTTTATTCTTCTGTAAATCCTCTTCACTTAGGTGTTCTCTCCGTTTTCGAGACTCCAGAGTCAAGCCATTCAAATAATAAAAATCTGCATTAAACTTGCCAACCATTTCCTGTGAAAACAAAATGAGGTAAATGTATGCATTATTATTATTATCATCAGGGGTCATACAGTGCATGGGGAATGGGAGGCAATCAGATCTGATCCAAGGAAGGGAAGGGTAAGTACACTTTCTTGGACCAAGAGCTCCATATTTGCATCTAGGAACCTCCATTGAGGAATGTAAATATAAAAAAATAGAAAAGAAATCACAGGTTCCACTCAGGGTTGTAACCCATGGCAAGCCAGTCCTAAAACTAGAATGTCATATCTCTAACCACTGGTTCCCATAGGCTTAATAAAATTCATCCAGCTAGGTATATTTCTACGTACTACTAGAAAAATTAACATGAGCACCACTGTGATCACATATGCAATTTTTAATGAAAGAATCTTGCATCAATACAATAGCAATGAGAACTATCTCAAGTCCTTTCAAAACCACTGTCAATGACTTGAGAAAAATCTTAATAACATTAGTGTTTACTAACACATTATTACGATTTTTGTGAGTTAAACTTTATGTGATGACAATGTTCCAATCACCAGCCAAAATGTAAGGTGTGGTATATGCTTTTCAGGATTTTAAAATACCCTTCATTAGTGTTACATAAAAATAAAGAACAAAGAGTAGGCTGCACTTTATTGATACCAAATTACCATTTCAGTGGTAATGTTGAACTGAAGTTGTTACATTTCAGTAAGCACTGTTATTGTCATATTTATAGGGAAGAGCTAAACCCAAATGGGCCATACAGTGCCTGAGAGATAATCAGGTATGATGTGAGGTACTGGAGCTACCCTCCACTGCCTTGGATAAAACCTGATTTTTCGATAATCATACCTTTTTATCTGCTCGAAAAATCCAGCCTGTCTGTGCTCTTGAAAAAGTGATCTGTTTGGTTGACATCTGCGCAGCTACTATGTCAGAACTCATAAGGATGTCCACCTCATCCTCTATTTCTGCTTCTGTTTCCTGTGAACATTATCATTTCTGATATGTAAAAAAATATTGATCATCATTCATTTACTATATGAACAAGAATTCACAGTTTTTGAGATAACAAATAGGGAACTTATAATTTTTTTTTTAACAATCTGGGTGTCTCCCTAGAAAGGGTTCCCCCCCCCCCCCAAAAAAAAGGAAGAAACACATTTACTGTAATTCACTTAATCACTGTCTTGCCAGAAGTGTGATGACATCACAGTTTGAAAGAACGTCTGAACTGCAACATCCTCACTCCTCCTTAGAGTGCAGGCACTGTACTTCAACACCTCCAGGACTCAAGTCCAGCTAACTGGTTTCCCCTAAATCCCTTCTAAACAGTACCTTGCTCACACTCCAACAGTATTCTTCTCTGTGTGGGTTATCTGTGTATAGCATGTCAAAACCATAAAAACCATCTGTCTCCACTTACCCTGATCTAAGTGTTCACACAAGTCTATTGGATGCTCAAGCCCACAGCATTCAAAACTTCCTTTACGCCTTCCCTCCAACTCAAACATGACATTTTTCACTGCCTACAGCCTCCCCCTTCACTGCAATGTTTACAGCCCATGCTTCATATTAATATAACAGTGAATGTGTGTCAAAAAAGCCAAAAATTACTAACCTCATGTCTGACTCCCTGGTAGACTTTCAACTTGTTGTCAAGCACTGTCAGGGAATGTGAAGGTTTTGAACTCCCAGAAAACAGAAAGCTAATGTCACCTCTCTCCCAGCGCATATCATTGAAGTCCACCAGCGTTGTGTCTAATCGGATAGACGCTCCCTTTTTGTGAATCTTACATGTATCGGACGGAAGCATTCTGGACACGAGGGGTACTGCAGAATAACGTTAATAATAATAAGAAAGATTCAATAACAGTTTTTTTGTTGTGTATGAAAAAACATTTAAAAATATAATGACAAAAAGTTTAACTGAAGAGGTGACTTTAAAACATTCTCAATATTTAAATTAAAAATTTATCTCACTAATAACACCACACAGCTCTTTATATAGTCAACAGGTTTTTACATACCCCAACTCTGAAAATCCCATTTGAGTTCCATATAAAAATCTCCCATTTGTGACAGTGCTCGTACTAGGTCAGGCCGCCGAGCCTCCATGTGTTCTCGAGACTGCAGCTTTAATTTTCGTAATAACACAGATACTGAAAAACAAAGAAGATATGAAGAGCAGATTCTATGATAATACTAAGAACTTTTAACACTGAAGATGTCTTAAAATCTAATAGTCTAAACATATTCATCTTATATGCATATACAGGCAGGCCCTACTCTCCAGAGTTTTGCTTTACAGCATTTCATTGATGCAGTGGTTTTCAATTATACCCATTCTTCATTTATTTAGACTTCCTACAAGAAATTTATCCCCCACTCACTATAAGGATGAAAATATTTTAAAAGTAAGTAACGTGTGTACCGTATATGCATTTTTTTATGCCTAGCTCTATTGCTCACTTAATATATGATAGTGTAAACATGTTATCAGGCTTTCATGTGCAACTGAAAGTGAAAAAAAGGCTATGTTATAGTGATTTTCACTATACAACAGTAGCCTGGAACCTAACCTGATGTATAAGTGGGGCCCTCCTGTAATAGAATAAAATACAATAACTGATAAATTTGTTAATATATGAATCTGACAAATAGCACAGCAGGAGTTGAAAATACAGTAGGGCTCTGCTTCATGGTGTATCGCCTTACGGCGTTCTGCTAATACAGACATTTCAAATTATGACCAAAACTCGCTATATGGCTCCCCCACCTGACTTTCTAATATGGTCACTGCACCCTACCCGGTTTGTTAACATTTTCCGTGAGCTCCGTGAGCACTGCGTCTCTCCTTTGTCTGGAAACTTTCCAAAATTTCAAATGTTTTAAAGTTATTTCATGTTATATATACAGCCTCTCCTCACTTAGTGACGTACTCGTTTACCAACGACTCAGACTTACAATGGGCTCTCTGACCAGCATGCATACCTAAATAATGTATATCAGAGCTGATTTCCTCAATTCAATTTATTACAATATTCAGTACACTACTGTATAAACATTTAAAAATATATTAAAAATGTTATAAATGGTGCAAAGGTGACATTAAGACAATATCAAAGATGGTTGACACAAACCCACTACCATTAAAGTATGGTCCTCATTTAGCAATGAATTCGTTTACCAACGAGGTCTTAGGAACGGAACTCCGTCGCTAAGTGAGGAGAGGCTGTATACTCTTGATAATTATACTTAAGGTGTACCTGTACCTAAATAAACTTATACAGTGCTGGTATATAGATACGTACACAGTAAAATCACTAAGAGTGTCTTATTAGTCTTGAGGACGACATATTGATAATGATAATAACACAATAATAATCACTCTGAAGCCCATTAAATATCATATATTGCATTAATATAAACATTTTCATTAATCCACTTATGATATTTTTTTCAAAATTACATAATAAACATGCTACATAACATTTAAACATGATAAATACACCCCACAGTAGAATAAATTAACATAAATATGAGATGTTATTTGTATGAACCAAAACCAGACGTATTCGTTTGCCTGTTTACATACTCCGCATCTCTCTCCTGTCTCATTTACTCCTTTTCTCTCTCTCTCTCAAATATTTAGTCACCTCTCACCCTACAGTAAGATTATAAATATTTTAAGGTAAGTAATAAGTTTGGTAGTAGGTTGGTATACAGCAACCACCCAGGGAGGTACTACCGTCCTGCCAAGTGAATGTAAAACAAAAGCCTGTAATTGTTTTACATGATGGTAGGATTGCTGGTGTTTTTTGTCTGTCTCATAAATATGCAAGATTACAGGTATGTCTTGCTACTTCTACTTACACTTAGGTCACACTACACATACATGTACAAGCATATATATACACACCCCTCTGGGTTTTCTTCTATTTTCTTTCTAGTTCTTCTTCTTGTTTATTTCCTCTTATCTCCATGGGGAAGTGGAACAGAATTCTTCCTCCATAAGCCATGCGTGTCGTAAGAGGCGACTAAAATGCCGGGAGCAAGGGGCTAGTAACCTCTTCTCCTGTATATATTACTAAATGTAAAAGGAGAAACTTTCGTTTTTCCTTTTGGGCCACCCCGCCTCGGTGGGATACGGCCGGTGTGTTGAAAGAAGAAGTAATAAGTGTATTGTATATTCATCTTATCGCTCTAGGGTGCTTTAAATGTTGTAGTATATTACGTGTAGGTGGGGTGTGTGGCCTGGCTGGCTACCATAGCTCCCACACCTGACTTCCTACAAATAAATACTGCTCACTTCTCACCCTACATTAAGACTACATATATTATTGTTTTAATGCTTAGTTTTATTGCTAACTTAACATATGTTAGTGTAAACTTGTTATCTGGCATTTATATGCATTTATAAGTGGACAAAATGGTGTTCAGCTTTTCAGCGATGTCTGCTTTCCGGTGGTAGCCTGGAGCCTAACCTGCCGTACAAGTGGGGCCCTACTGTATAGGACAATCTCACTATTCTTAAACATAAAAAAGTACAATACTGTACTGTATTGCCATTTTTAAAAATCATGACCTTTATTTTGAAACAGCAGAGGCTCAGAATTTACTTGGGTTACATTTACAGTGGACCCCCGATTAAGGATATTTTTTCATTCCAGAAGTATGTTCAGGTGCCAGTACTGACCGAATTTGTTCCCATAAGGAATATTGTGAAGTAGATTAATCCATTTCAGACCCCCAAACATACACGTACAAACGCACTTACATAAATACACTTACATAATTGGTCGCATTGGGAGGTGATCGTTAAGCGGGGGTCCACTGTATAGATACTGTCAATACAAAATTAGAGAAAAACAGTTCCCAAAAAATTTCAGTATAAAAATGAACAAAAATTACCATACAGTGGAACCCTGGTTTTCGTTTGCCCTGGTTTTCGTCGAATTCAGTTTTCGGTGACTTTTTTTGTCAAAATTTTGTCCCAGTTTTTGTTCATCACCTCGGTTTTCAACGGACTATCATACCAAACATGTCCACCTGCCTGCGCCGACACAAAGCATCTCATGCGTTCTAAGTCTATCTGGCTGTGTTTCTCGTTGAGTGAGCATTACCCTGCAAGCTCATCCAAAACATTTCGTAATAATCCATTATTTTTTGTGCTTGTTTACTGAGTACGACTGCTAAATAAGCCACTTTGATAAAGGTGAGAAACATGATAGAATTCAAGAAGGAACTCGTAGCAAAGTACGAAAGTGGTGAATGTGTGGTTGATCTTGCCAGGATGTACAAAGTGTGCAAAGTGGAGTGAGTTGCAAAGTTTTGTGGAGAAATATCACCCTAACAAAGCTGTTGCAAACCATGTCTGCAACATGTTCAATGACAATGCCTTGTCCCATTTTAGGCAAATCTTAAAGAAGATGCCAAAAACAGACCTCTATGGACAAATTTTTTGTGCGACAGGGGTCCAGTGCCAATAAAAGACAAAGAAGGGAAGTAACCCTGGATAGGGACTTGATACCTGAAGTCCTTATGGAGGGGGATTCCCCTTCCAACCAATAACTTCTCCTCCCTCTCCTCTCCTTGCATCTTCCATACACCAACAAGAGTCATCAATAAAGGTAAAAGTGATATTAAGTGTTCATTTATCCATTTCATTAGTCATTTATATTAATTCTCATTGTGTTTTGTATGTAAAACTATAGTTATTCTCTATATAGTGTATTTTTTGTTAATACTTTTGGGTGTCTGGAATGGATTAGTTGGATTTACATTATTTCTTATGGGAAATATTACTTCAGTTTTCATCGAATTCAGTTTTCGTCAGACTTTCTGGAACAAACTAATGATGAAAACTGAGGTTCCACTGTAAAGTAAATTGTAGTGTATACTACACGGTGGAATGAGGCCATGCTAATTTCTCAATAAATTGGCAAATAATGTATGTACATTAGTTCACAAAAAAACTGGCATATATGGTATGTCAAAAAGACTGTAGCATTGAAAACTCTGGCCAATTTTGACACTATGTTAAGGTTATAAGTAACTGTTTCTATTTAGCTAACATTGATAACTATTTATATATTATAGAAAAAATGTATGCTAAAATGCAGAAAAAGCAAAAAAGTGATCAAAAATATAAAATGCACTGCTGTGGGTGAAAAAATGGAATGTCAGGTACCATTTGCTTATGGAATATTTCTCAAAAAATGAATCTTTTATGGAGTGAGCTTTTGAGAGTAGCAATTTCTCCAAAAAAAATCAGATATTATAAGTGCAAGTTTTGAAGTTTACTGTCCAGTACTATGCAAAAAATGTAATATATTTTTATAGGAATGAATGTATCCTGTACAGCTAACTGTTTTTGTAATCATGGATTTTAAAAATATATATTAGTGTATATACTGAACAAGCAAACAAATAGTGCATTATACTTACTGCTTTGTCTGTCACCAAAACTGATGGCTTCTGCAAGAGGACTCCACCCATTGCAATTCTTGACTTTTACTGGAGCTCCATGAGCCAACAGAAGATGTATACATTCTGCAGAATTAAACATAACTATAATAAATTCCACAAACAAATAACAGTAAAATCATTATGAAAACCTAAGGTTCATTCCCAATCTCAGATGTATTAGTTAAACCTGACAGCAATTAAATAGCTACACTGAGCTGCTCTACACTTCACAGACCTCTCATTAGCCACTATATATTCTCTCATGTTTTTTGTCTGTATAACTTGATAAAACCCCTGGTGCACGAAACATGTTCTAAACGCTACAGTACCATGACCTGCAGTGTACCTTACTTTTTAGTATACTGAATTTTTTAAATTACACTTCCAATAGCAAAAAAACTTTTGTCTACTGCACATAAAACCAACACCTGAGGTATAAACAACCATTATTATTACTATGAATTTAATTATTATTATTATTACAGTATTATATCTATTACAGTATTATGATTGATACATTATTATTATTAATAGTAGTAGTAGTAGTGAAAACGAAGAACTAAACACATGGATTACAGCATTAATTAGCCCTCTATTACCTTTATGCCCCAGCATTACAGCCAGGTGAAGTGGTGTATTACCTGAAAAAATTAAAAAAATTGTATCAGTAAAGTGAATAAAAATTTATTGTACACATTTTATTTTTCTTATACATTAAGAGTAAGTTTTGCATCAACACTAAGCTTTACATAGTTATATACAGCAAGTATATATTAATCATATTCTGTATATAATCACAATTACCACCTAACATATTTTTTAAACTTTTATATTATTCTAATTACTATCATACAGTGATAAACTTACAAGTGACCTCTCCAGTAAATACAGTGAATTAAGACATTTAATCACACTCACTGCTAACATAATAGGTTTTCTGTTCATTTATATATTTGCAAGTGCATCAATCTGTTCACAAGTAACCACACGTCAACTCACCAAACACTCAGGTCAATTCATTACAAAAAAAGAATACTGTACATTAAATCCTTTTTGTAACTGACCTTGATTAATATATTTTGGCAATATGGAACAAAATTTTCTGGGTCAACTGAGTGTGATGGTTACAGAATTGTCTAATATTATTACAATCACATCAAAACAATATCATTTCTTTTCACCACAAATCACCATTACCAGCCATCCCCTCCCTTCCATTATTAACTCATTAAATCGAGGGGTTACTGTATTTTCATTATCTTAACTATAATCCTTGCCTTGACTTAAAATTGTTTGCTGCTGTCAAAAGTGGGCCTTTCTTAATAAAAATGCTTAAGAAGAACCTCTAAATTCATGTGCAACATATCTGTGACTAGTTTTAACTTACTTTTCTATCACAGTCTTGCAGTCCAACCTGTTGAATCAGACTGTTGATGCCTGCAGTCCACAGGCCTAAATACATATCACAACTTGGATGATCTGGCACATCCTGCAGATTATCATCATATTAAGGAAGAAGTGCTAAACCTATAAAGTCGTACATTGTCTGGGGAATAGGAGGCAATCAGGTTCAATCCAAAGAATGGGAGAACTAGTTCAATTCCTTGGATAAAGAGCCCCTCTGCAGCATCACGGTACCACCCTTGAGAGGTACATCCTGCAGAAACTTGTCCAATTTCTTCAAAAATTTATACCTTTGGTCTCATATTTCTATAATAAATATTTGAAGTATTCTACTGTATTTCATGAAGTGCTAAACTCAGGAGGGGGCATTTAATGCAAGGAGAGATGGTGGATTGAATCTTTCTGTGCTAATCGTGGAATTACTGCCAATTAGTCAGACTGTTTAGGATGATGAAAAAGTTTTCTCTAATTGTGCTTGCTCTCCCACCCTGCGTCAAATTATATGCTGTTCTGCAGGAATTATTTCTGGATCTATTGAAAGTACTGAGAGCTATATATATTATGTCCATTCACCTTCTCATCACTTTCTAAGTGTTACTGAAATAATTCTTGCAGAATTTCAAATTAGACTTAACTGAATTTGGAGGGCCCTCAAGCCTTAAAATTTTAACTGGCAACAGCTAGCATCAAACAGCAGGTAGTGATGAACTTGAAAGTAAAGGTCACAGGAGGAATTTATTAGAAGTTTTAATGTTTGATTAACGTAAATTCCAAACACACACATAAAAAGATATATTCTCCAGTTAAAAGAACTTTTCAACCAAAATTAAAAAAGAAAAAAAAAAAAAAAGGAAAGGAAAGGAAAAAAAAACTTTGCATGTTATTCATTCATGTAGGTTCACTGGTATTTCTGGCCAGGGTCTTCTTCAGATGGCAACCTGGCTTTTGCATGCAAGATGCTAAATTTGAGGTAAATGTGTATTGTAGAAGCTGAAGAATTTGCTGAAGTTCCTTGCCCTTGTGTTCATGCTTGAATATTTAGCTAGTTTTCCTAGCTAATACTTTTGGCTGTTCCATTATCCTCACAAAATAAGAGATAAGAATCAGAGATAAAGAGAGTGAGGTTTTGTAGTCCAACTAAATTTTCTTTGCTCTTATTAAGTTTTTACATTGAAATGTTGGTGATGAGGATTATTAATATATTGTGGGAAAGTGCTAAACTTATAGGGGTCATACAGCACTTGGGATGCAATTGAGTTTGATCCAAAGAAATAAAGGACAATTTCAATTTCTTGATTCAAAAGCCCCTCACCTGTGTCAAGGAACCTCCCATGAGAGGTTGGTGATGAGGGAAGCAAGTTAATAGTTGTTTCCTAAGTGATTATATCTGAATGTTGAGGGGTTACAATGAATCCCTTGTTAATGGCAAATAATGAATCCCTTGTTAATAATTTACAAATTTACAAATTTCAGAGGAACTGGGTGCTAGCGACCACAAATCAATTACATTTAGCATTGAATGGAAGTACGATAGTAGCGATAACTCAGTAACAGTCCCAGATTTTCGCTTAGCAGATTACGATGGGCTTAGAGAATACTTATCATCTGTTGACTGGGGTAACGAAGTGAGCTATCAATATGACAGTTTTCTGAACACTATACATGCTGCTCAAAGAACGTTTATCCCATATAAAGAAATTAGATCAAATAGAAATGACCCAAAATGGATGAATAATAGGCTCAAATATCTACTAGGGCATAAGAAAGGAATTTATAGGCGTATCAAAAGAGGTGAGGGTCATCTTATGAATCAGTATATTGACATTAAGAGGGACATTAAAAAGGGGATAAGAAAAGCTAAAAGGGACTATGAAATTAAAGTTGCTAGGGATTCTAAAACTAACCCAAAAAGTTTTTTCTATAGAACAAAAGTCAGAGATAAGATAGGTCCCCTTAAAAATAACTATGGGCACCTTACTGACAAAGAGAATGAAATGTGCTCGATTTTTAATAATTATTTTCTCTCAGTTTTTACACAGGAAGACACTAACAATATTCCAGTAATTAATTTTTATAGTGGGCTAGAAGAGGATAAATTATGTAACATCACAGTCACTAGTGAAATGGTTGTGAAGCAGATAGACAGACTGAAGCAAAATAAGTCGCCGGGTCCTGATGAGGTTTTTTCAAGGGTTCTTAAGGAATGCAAAATGGAACTCTGTGAACCATTAACTAATATTTTTAATTTATCTCTTCAAACAGGTGTAGTGTCTGATATGTGGAAGATGGCTAATGTAATTCCTATTTTTAAAACAGGGGACAAGTCGTTACCGTCAAATTACCTCCCAATAAGCCTGACCTCAATTGTAGGCAAATTACTAGAGTCAATTATAGCTGAGATTATAAGTCATCTCGATAAGCATAGCTTGATTAATGATACTCAGCATGGATTCACAAGAGGCCGGTCTTGTCTAACTATTTATTTATTTATTTATTTATTTATTTATTTCCAATTTGTGCACACATACAGAGGTACAAAAAAATACAGATAAGAGCAGTATGCCAAAGCCACTTATACTATGCATAGCATTATGGGCTGGCTTAAAATTAACTTAAGATTAACTAAGCAATGATTATTATTATTATTATAATCAAAAAGAAGCGCTAAGCCACAAGGACTATACAGCGCTGCTACTAAGCAATGATGAAATCAGTGATAAAACATTAATGTAAACAGATAACTATAAAGCACAAGTGAGTATTACAAAGACAGTCATATGGTTGCATTCAGTTAGGTAGTGATTCTGTTAGGTAGTGTATTTAAAAAATAATAAAGTTAGATTGGGTTTTAGGTTTAACATTTATGTGATATAATTGTGAGAAACATTTAAGATATACAATTTATAATGTTCAGTTATTCAGTATTTATTTGGTTTTGGGTGAGTAAGTAATCTTTGAGAAGAGACTTGAATTTATAAACAGGTTGTGTTTCTTTTATATTTACAGGTAATGAATTCCAGATTTTAGGGCCTTTTATGTGCATTGAGTTTTGCATAGTGTGAGATGGACACGAGGAACATCAAAGAGTGATCTGTGCCTTGTGTTATGGTCATGTGTTCAGTAAAGCTTTTGAGGCTGTTGACCACGATAAAGAATCTGATATTATTTACTTAGATTTTAGTAAGGCTTTTGATAGAGTTCTGCACCATAGACTGTTAAAGAAGTGGCAGCTCATGGCATTGGGGGAAAAGTGCTCTCGTGGATCGAGTCATGGCTCACTGACAGGAAGCAGAGAGTGTCCATAAATGGGGTTAAATCCGAGTGGGGATCTGTAACAAGTGGCGTTCCACAGGGATCAGTCTTGGGCCCGTTGTTGTTATAATATATATCAATGATCTGATGAGGAATACTAGTGATATGAGCAAATTCGCCGATGACACAAAGAAGGTAGATAATTGACTCAAACTAGATGTTATGGAATTTCAGGAGGATTTAAACAAACTCTATTCTTGGTCGAAAAGGGGCAGATCAGTTAAATTAGATAAATGCAAGGTTCTGAAGCTCGGATGCCCTAACCCTAGTACATAAGTTAAATGATTAGAACTTACCAACAGATTGCAAAAAGGACTTGGGGGTTATGGGGGCACAACCTTAAACCAAAAAGCAATGCCAAGCGTAGTAATAAGGCAAATAGATTACTGGGATTTATATCAGAATGTAAGCAACAGAAGTCCAGGGGTCATACTGCAGCTTTAACATCATTATAAGGCCTCACCTAATTACGCTCATTCTGGTCTCCATATTACAAATGGACAAAAATTCATTAGAAAACTTTCAGCGTGGGATACAAAATTAATACAAGCATTAAAATCTTCCTTTAAGAAAGATTGAAGCCCTTTTAAGTTACTTTACTTTTAGACAAGAATGAGGGGACCTAAATCAAGTGATAATGGAAATGGTATTAATAAAGGGGATTTTAAAATAAGGCTTGAGGATGTCTCCCCAAGAGAGAACCCGCAAATGGTTTTAAAATAAAAAGTTTAGATTTAGAAAGGACATAGGAAAATTGGGGGGGAAATAGGTAGTTGATGAGTGGAGCATCCCCTAGGGGTTATGAGGCTGGGACGGGGGTAGTTTCAAATTTGGGTTTGGGATAATACATGAGTAAGGGGGGTTGGATTTGAGTGGGGCTTTCACACAGAGCTTATTTCTTGGGTGGCATTGAAAATTGGGTTGGGCAAATGTTTTGTTAGTGGGTTGAATTGTAAAGGACCTGCCATATGGGCCAACAGGCCCCCTGCATGTCCCCTTTCTTTAAGTTCTTATGCTGTTTTTAAAATGCTCTAGACTAGACTGAGATGTTTCATGAGTCGATGGGGTTATAAATGAGGTTTTTGTTATATACAGGAAATACATGGTTTAAAAAGCACAATTATTAAATTAGGGGTTGTCAGGCTGACAGTAGTCTCTATCAATTATTCTTAAAAAAACTTTTGTTGAGCGTGTTATTCAAAATAAATATTTCTGGTACTATCACTGATGTAAGGCACAATATGTTTGTACTTGTAATTATGATATATTTATATAAAACACTAATTTAAATGACAATGAATTTCGCCAATATAGCTATTCACTATATCCATTTCTGATCAGAATTTTACATTCTTATTCATGTGCTTTATATTAGGTGTACAACTGAGAATGGCTGTTTCGTCATGCACAAAAAAAGCGCTCAACCCACAAGGGTTATTCAACATTGCTTCAAACACCTGTGACAAGGACCCTAATGGAAATAAGTCACTTCGTCTAACTTTTTGGGTTATCCTAGGTAATTTACACATGTACCTATGTATGATAATTACAGTCATCTAAATTTGTGTAGATGTACTTATGCGTACCTGTGCGTAAATAAACTTACTTAGTTACTTACAAACACCCGGCCATCCCACTGATACACCTCAAAACACACACACAAGTGTATGCTTCCCCGACACTCTAGGAAAATGCCACTGACACATGGCTCTAATTGACTATTTTCCAGGTCACTCATAGTGATTTAGTCCCTCTCTTACCATGCTTATCCTTCTTGGCAACATCGTAAGTTCGTATAAGAGCGGACACTCTTCTTATATCCCCATTAAAGACACTTTCATGTAATTCGTAGGAATTATTGTCGTCGGCCATGTTTACATATTCACACACTTGAGTCATGCGAGCATTATTCACACATTTATTCTTATTCTAATAAAATACACACAAATATTACATAATTTTTTTTCAATATTTTTTGTATATTTTTCAAAATTTCCGTAGAAAATTGATAGATATTTGAGAATGCTGGAAAGAGAATTCAGCATACTAACAACACATTTTTGACACCAGTAAACGAATCTGATAGATATTTAAGGATGTAATATTTTTATACTGAATTAAAACTGACAAGGGCTAAATCACTTACTTAATGACCTTCACAAGCATACTTGATAAAAAATAAGTCTTTAACCAATTAGCTGAAAGAATCCTAGCATAATACATAGCATAATACATACACATTCCATCCTAGGACACATACACATTCCGGAATAAACAAATATTAGTGGACACATCCAGGAATAGACACATGAACACATATGTATTTCACACAAACTATACACCATCAATCTCTCACCCAAATAACCAGCAAATTAACAGCTCCCATTGCTGAATAGAAAATAAAATAATACTCTATTTCACGGCTATTAAAAATGCAATTTCATGAGCCCAAATTTTGACTTTCATTTTTTTCATATACTGAAAATGTTTTTGATAATAATGCATGCCCAAATTTATTATTATTCTATGTCAACATAAGTGAGAAAGGAAGCAGGTAAATAAGAAGATGAGGAGGTAAGCAAGCAAGAAGTTAAATATACTTATCATATGCTAGAAAATGAGCAAGTAAATATATAAACAGGTAAGTAAATAAGCAGATAATTAAAAAGCAGGTCAATAAATAGGCAGGTAAGTAAATAAGCAGGTAAGCAAATAAGCAGGTAAGTAAATAAGCAGGTAAGTAAATAAGCGGGTAAGCAAATAAACAGGTAAGTAAATAAGCAGGTAAGTAAATAAGCAGGTAAGTAAATAAGCTGGTAAGTAATATGTAAGTAATAAAGAAGCAGGTAAATAAACAAGTAGGTAAGTAAATAAGCAGGTAAATGGAAAGCAAGCAGGTAAGTAAACAAACTAGTAAATAAGCAAGCAGATATATAACCAGATCAATAAATAAGCAGTTAAATAAATAAGCAAGCATGTAAGCAAATAAGAAAGTAAGCAGGTACATAAGCAGGGAAGTAAATAATTAAGCAGGTAAGCATGCAGGTAAGTAAATGTACAGGCAGGTAAGTAAAACAGCAAAGAGGTAAGTAATTAAGCAGATAAGTTAATCAAGCAAACAGATAAATAAGGAATATAAGGAAGTAGTCAAACAAGTGAAGAAGCAGAGAAGCTCATTTTTGTACAGGCGGGAAATTAATAAAGAAAGATTATTTTGGCGGCAAATTCCTGGGGTAAACATTTACACATATGACCCCTCAAAAGAAGTTCATTGAATGATAATATTCACTAATTATGTTGTGGCGGATAGCTAAACATATGTAGACTTTATTCACGCTGATTAGTTAATTATAAAATCATGAGATGGGTGAAAATATTGAGGAAAAATATTGAGGGAATTTAGTTATCTGGCGGGAAAACTCGCTACAGAAAATGAGTTGTGGCGGGAAGTGGAGGTGACGGGAGACATTTGAGTCACTACATCTGCACTGTCCACACGTTGTGCTCCACTTCCCCCATATTCCTCCCGTAACTACGGTTTATTTTAAGGTTATTATTGTTTTTTTAAGGTATTGTTGTTTTGTTGCTATGCTACACAAGTGCTTATGAGCTTGGCTACCTGTTTTTTTAAGGAGAAATTTTACTTTTGCAAATGGCCAGCTTGTTCGCCCCCCTCTCTCTTCTTACCTGAAGGCTGCTCCATGCCGGTGCAGGGCTCGTGCTCTGTAGAATTGGAAATGTGCTTCCCTTTGCCCCTGCCCGTCTCCCCCGCCTCACCCACCCAACTCCCAGCGCCACCCCATCTATAGAGGGTACTTCTCCCCTAACCCACGATGTCAGCGATGGCACTGCAGGGAGTGCCGGGCTCACAGGAACTTCCACTACAGGGACAGCATCGTGGAGTTCGACCGCGAGGCAGCTGTCAGGTGTGCCATAGGCAGTGTGTACTCAGTTCCTCAAGCTTCAACATCCGTGCACACGAGGGCCTGGGATCTTCAGTCAACTTGGCGTCCACCAGGACGTTGCCATGTCCCTAGGACAGCTCTCCATCGGGGCTGCTAACGGAGCCACTGGCTTCTTGGACCTCTTGGGGAGGGTCGATGGTGCTCGTGCAAGCAGCAGATCCCGGGCAACTTGCTGCTGTTTGCAATGGCTGTCTGCCGAGGAGAGACAGGCACCTAGCAACATCTGTTGTTGGGGCAATGGATGAATTCCCTGCTATGTTTGTTAACTGCTCATTACTCTGTAATTTGTCTATGATTTTTAATCATGTGATAACGTGTTTATCATTCATTACCTTTGAAACTTGTCATGATTTTGACCAGCTCTACCTGGAGCTCATTACCTTTGTAAATTCTCATGATTAATGTGTTTATGATTCATTACCTTTGCAATTATTCATGAGTGTGACCAGCTCTACCTGGAGCTCATTACCTTTGTAACTTGGTCATGATTATGACCAGATCTAGTTCATTACCTCTGTAACTTGCTCGGCTATCAAAACTTTGGAGTCCAGTCCCTGGACCAATTATGTACCTCTGTAATCTTTTGACTACCGCCCACAGGATGGGTATGGGGTGCATAATAAACATATTAAACTGAGCTTCCTTGGATCGGACTTGAATGCCTCCCATTGTCTTGGGCTCTGTATAACCTCTGTGGGTTTGGCGTTTTCCCATGGATGCAGAAATCCCCTGAAGACACTGGAATGCAGTGGCATTAACCACACGAGAATGACTTAAGGGCTTTTGATCCGAGGAATTACGGGTACTCAGCCATGCATACAAAATTGCTAAAACCTTGGGTAATTTTCAGTAGGCCTACTGCACTGCTTCCCCGTTCTAATGTCTTAAGTTCAATGTCAAGAATAACGTGGTAATTTTTTTTTTACCAGGGTTAGGAAGCAAACCTATATATCAAAATTTACAGTGTGACTGTATGAAAGTTAAGACACATGTGCAACATCTGGATATCTTTATTGTAGACGTTTCGCCATCCAGTGGCTTTATCAATACAGATTCTAGGACATAATAGGAAGACAGTAGAACTATATACAAAAGATGAGGTAATCAGTCCCTCGGCCTTGGAGTTAGTGTTCACAGCATCGTGGTGGAGGAGAATCTGGAGCAAAGGCAAGAAGACTGGCGAAACGTCTACAATAAAGATATCCAGATGTTGCACATGTGTCTTAACTTTCATATTGTCGGTATTTTATACCTTTCTTGCACAACTTGTCAGACACTGCAACATCATGGAATCTCGGTTCAGAGGACATCTACAAGACCTTCTTCACGGCTGCTGCAACTAACCCATCTCTTTGGGAAGGACCTACTTCCACTGGGAAATCCCGCCTACCAGTGACTGCCCTCGTCTGCTGCCCGTCCCTTCCACTGACGCCTATATAAACGCCAGTCTTCTTGCCTTTGCTCCAAACTCTCCTCCACCACGATGCTGTGAACACTAACTCCAAGGCCGAGGGACTGATTACCTCATCTTTTGTATATAGTTCTACTGTCTTCCTATTATGTCCTAGAATCTGTATTGATAAAGCCACTGGATGGCGAAACGTCTACAATAAAGATATCCAAATGTTGCACATGTGTCTTAACTTTCATATTGTCGGTATTTTATACCTTTCTTGCACAACTTGTCAGACACTGCAACATCATGGAATCTCGGTTCAGAGGACATCTACAAGACCTTCTTCACGGCTGCTGCAACTAACCCATCTCTTTGGGAAGGACCTACTTCCACTGGGGAATCCCGCCTACCAGTGACTGCCCTCGTCTGCTGCCCGTCCCTTCCACTGACGCCTATATAAACGCCAGTCTTCTTGCCTTTGCTCCAGACTCTCCTCCACCACGATGCTGTGAACACTAACTCCAAGGCCGAGGGACTGATTACCTCATCTTTTGTATATAGTTCTACTGTCTTCCTATTATGTCCTAGAATCTGTATTGATAAAGCCACTAGATGGCGAAACGTCTACAATAAAGATATCCTGATGTTGCACATGTGTCTTAACTTTCATATTGTCGGTATTTTATACCTTTCTTGCACAGTGTGACTGTAAATGGTCCCAGTCTGACCGAAACGTCGTCGTAAGCTCCTCTCTTCTATGTGCTGGCTATTTGCGTATTTTAATATTGAATATTAAAATGGTATAAAATACCAACAGGTTGTTAGGTAAGACATGCAACATTTAGGTATCTATTTCAAAACGTTTCGCCTACACAGTGGGCTTCTGAAGAAGCCTACTGTGTAGGCGAAACGTTTCGAAATAAGGATGCCTAACTGTTGCATGTCTTATCTAATTTTTTATTATTATTTATTATTATTATTATTATTATTATTATTATTATTATTATTATTATTATTATTATAATCAAGGAGTGCTAAACCCGTAGGATTATGCAGCACCTGTGGGGGGATGTGGAAGATATTTAGGCTTAACTCAAGGAACTGGAGCACAGATCCAATTCCCTAGATCAGGAGCCCCTCACGAACGTCAAGAAACCTTCCTAGAGGGGTATTTTAAGTTGTGCTCTGTGGCCTTCTCATGCCGAAATCTTTTTATTGTATAAATGTCATCCATTCTTTATGTAAATATTAGCCAGATTAGAGTAATATCAATATGGTCTCGCGTGTGTGTGTGTGCGTATGTGTGTGCACTCACCTAGTTGAGATTGCAGGGGTCGAGTCCAAGCTCCTGTGGGTGTACTCACCTAGTTGAGGTTGCGGGGGTCGAGTCCGAGCTCCTGGCCCTGTGTGTGTGTGTGTGTTTGTGTGTGTGTGTGTATGTGTATGAGTGTATATGAGTGTATGAGTGTATATGAGTGTGTGTGTGTGTGTATGAGTGTGTGTGTGTGTTAAGAGAGAGAGAGAGAGAGAGAGAGAGTTACCATTTTGTCCTAGGCACATGTCGATTAGACACTAGGCCTGTTGTATATGAGTACGTGTGTGTGTGTGTGTGTGTGTGTGTGTGTGTGTGTGTGT